GTGTGTGTGTGTGTGTGTGTGTGTGTGTGGTAGTGGGGTGTCTGTGTGTCTTTCTGCTTGTCACATAATGTTCTTCAGCTGCAGTTCAGGATAAAAAAAAATGTTTTGTGTTTCTTTCCATAAAATGATAAAACCTTAAAAAATGGTGTGAAAAAGAAATGGTGAACTTGTTTTTTTTTTTTTTCAGTCTATAGGGATTATCTGCTTATTTAAATAATAAATAAGCAGATGGTCTTATGCTTTATGTATCATCACCTGCCAAAATAAAAGTCAGGTAATAATGTACTGTATATGTGGTTAATTGTTAGACAGGTTAATGAGACAGGTTTTAGTGAAACCCTCTGAAACGTATCTTAAGATATCCATGTATAACTTGTTAATTTTGTTTTGCTAATACAAAAATAATTAATTTTATGGACATTGAGCTTAATTTTAGTATACAGTATCTGGTATGCACTGAGTGCTACACTATGTGTGACAGCTTTGCTTAAAATGTTGTTAATAACTGATGAAGTCAACGTTGTCTGTTAAAATATTTCACTAACTATTGAACACAATGTATTAAAACTCTCAGAAAGCAGTCTTTGCACATACATGAACACAGGATTATGTTTTGCAGTCATCTTGAAATAAAATGGCTGTCAAAGTTAATCAAACATCGAAACTCACTTAGAAAGGCATATTGACCCCTTCATTTGACAGATACTGAGCTCAAAACTGGTTGGTTGTAGCTGAGAGTTATCATTATCATACACTCTGAGTGCTAACAAATTGGGTGAAATCTTAATTTAAAACTTTGGCATGCAAATTGGCAGGCAATGTGCAAACATTCAAGAGATGCTAGAGTTATTTAAAGAATTAAGGGGACTTTGGAAGTGGTCCTTTATCTGTTGTCCTGTTTTAATATCTAGTAATCTGTGTAGATTTCTCAGCCAACGAACATATTTAGGAGGAAACATTTGGAAGCATTTTGAGGTAAATCAGATTTGACAGCTGTGATTTGGTTATTTCATTTTATTTTAATTTTGTGTCTTTATATTTTTGATAAAGGTCAGACTAAATTCATTTGATACAGTGTTTTTGAAGTCATCACATACACCCAGTTGTGTAAAACTCGTTTATTTATTTTATTATACAGGTTTGAGACACTCTCTATTTATGCACTTAATCTCAGTAAAGCTATATTGCATAATAATTATTAGATTATAAAGAACTAAACCATATGCATTTGGACAGGGGTTCCCTAACTTTTCCATGCCATGGCCCCCGAAACACTATTAGCTTCTGGCTGGGGAGCCCCCTTGCAAACCCACAAACAATGCTATAAAATACGCAAAGAAACATAAACTTTTAGAATATTTCTCACTTTTATTCACTATTCAATAATTATTACATTTGTTAAGCATAATAATTGTATTAATTAACATGTTTTAAACATTATATTCCCACAGAAAAAAGCAACTTTCCTACAGACTGTGACAAAAAGAACAGAACAAAAGAAATCAAACTTCTCTGAAGCTCTCTGACACTTCATTGTATTTTTATAAATTACATTATTAAATAACTTGAAAACAGATTTGAATGTATGATAATGCTTTAAAAATATTTATTAGATTTTTTTATTTTTTGTCTTCTTATTTTCCCTCCAGTTTTCCATGCAGCACCCCCTGGCAGTGGCCTCCACCGTGAAAAACACCTGCATTAGGATACAGATTTACTAAATTAAAAATAACAATAATAATAATAATAATAATCATAATAATAATAATAATAATAACAATAATAAACTGTGTTTAGGAATACAACAATTCTGCTACATTTCTCTCTCAAAAAAAAAAAAAAAACAGACTGTATGCTCATTTCACCCGTCAGTGACAGACTGACAGCTGACTGCTCATATTCCATTTTACTGTAACAGACGTCAAAAACTAGATTTCACTTTGCACCGCTTTTTGCTTCGAGGAGATAACCATCACTAACAAAAAAACAAAACAAAAAAAAAACAAGATTAAATCACCGTCTACATCAATTACAGAGCCCTGTCTGTGCAGGAATACAAATGTGCAAGACGTGGAAGTTGCACAATTTCATTCGCACAATAGCACATCGTCCCCCCCACCCTACGTCACCCCCCAGCTCCTGTGAGACTGAAAAAACAGACACGAAACTGAGACTTTACACACCCGTGCTGCACAAGCCGATACAGATAAATGGCAACATCAGAATTAAACTCAAGACTCTATAGATGGGATTCAAAAAAAAAAAGAAAGAAGAAAATGACACCAGCACTCGAGTATGTCTACTCCCCCCCCCCCATCCTGTTTCCTCATATTCTACTTGAAGCTGTGTCATGTGTTAACATGGGGGCGCTGTTGTTTTAATGTGGTAGAAGAGGCCGGTGAGTGAGTGTGTGATGATGAAGGTGGTAAAAGGTAAGGAAACATGGGAGAGAGTGAGCCATTTAGCACTAGAATATTAATGGCTTATGCTGCACGCAGTAGGTGATAATGGATGCTGTCGCACTTGGTCCAAACTGTTTGACTGTGGGGGTGCATTTGTGTAATTTCCATTCACACAGAGAAAACATGCACACTTTTTTTTTTGTTCATCTAGCTGTTCTGACATTATCTTTAGCCCTTAAATAATAATTTTTTGTCGTTTTTCTTATTCTTCTTCCAGCTCAGAACTGCAGTTACACACTACACAGCCCCAATGGGACAATAGAGAGTCCTGGGTACCCTTACGGTTATCCTAACTATGCTAACTGCACGTGGGTGATTGTGGGAGCGGAGCATAACCGGATACAACTGGTGTTTCAAGGCTTCGCCCTGGAGGAGGACTTTGACATTTTGTCTGTATATGATGGGCCACCCAGCCCTGGAAACCTGCGGACAAGGTAAATAAACTGTGTTTGTGNCACACACACACACACCTCTGCTTTGACGCTTTCATGATTTTACGATGCAAGATGTCACATGAACTTGATCGTGTCCTTTGCAGTCACTTGGAATTGAAGCTATTGATGAAAAAGGAGATAAAACTAAAGTGGGATATTAGCAATGCACCCAGAGGCAACCGCAGCAAATCTGTTGGTGACTAAACCCAGAATGACTGTGTGACACCCTTCAAGGTGATTCACTGATTTCTTTTTTTTTTTTTTTTGCTTTGGAACTATGTGCAAAGTGGGATAAAACTCACTTGGTTGTGAAGGCTCAAACAGTCTATGAATCAACATTCTCACCATCAAGTACAAGCACCAGTTTTACACCCAAAGAAAGGATGCCAGCAGAACCAAAACTCATACTGTTTGCTTGGAGTTTGTTTTAAATGACAAGCATGGCAACTATAGTTTCTTTGTTTGAACGTCTAAGAAAAGTAGAAAACATGTTGTGCGAGAGTTCACAAACTTCACCTGTAGAGTTTTCCCAGGTTATATATGGTGTGCCATCTGGTCCGATCAGCAAACAGTTATGTTGTTTTTGTGCAGCTGCGTTACAGATGGTTTACTCCTCACTCGAGGACACATCTACTATTAAGATAAACATAAAGACAACTGTATTTATAGAAAATTCATCCAGTAGTATTTTGTTATTACTCATCCTTGAAAATGCTACAATTTTTAAAAAAGAAAAACACGTATCATGCAACATGCACTTTTGTAGCAGTTAAATGCATTTTGGTGTGTGCTTGGAGTTTCTAGTAGTGCAGACAATTTGAATTAAGTAAGTTTTTTTTTTTTTTGGTCACATGCATGAAGGAACAAACTGATCTGAGGCAGAGAGTGCAGCACCTTGCTTGGATTTAAAGAGACAGCCTCGACACTAGTTGATCTGAGACATCTTGTAAAAGATGTGAAAGAGGGGCTTGTGGAGTTACAGTGAGGAGGAAACCAGATCCAAGCGTTGCAGTTCCACTGCAGACCCCAACTGAATGATTCAAACATGTAAAATAAGGATTTAAAGGCATTATATGTTTACTGAAAACCTTTGATCACACCTGAATGTAATTAGTGTTGCTCCAAATGACAAGGAAGTAAGTGCGACATTTAGAAATGTTTCATTTCTGGTCAAACCAGTTTATTCATTATCAGGCTCAGGCTCTGCAATTTGCATGAATTGTGTCTGCATTTGCATCCATTAGTCCTGTCTTCAAGTTAAATGATCAGTCTTTTTTTCTCTTTTTTAAAGTTGTTTTTTAATGCTGGGCTTGGGACTATCCAGTATTACATGTAATTAGTTACATGTGATAAACAAATATTAGAGTATTCTCAGTTTGGAGAAATCAATGATAAATCTCATACAGTAGTTCTTATGGGGAATGACACTATTGGTGATTTTTTTAAATTACTTAATTAATGAATTTGTTCAGTTTGTGTTCTCTTGAAATGCAGTATCACACCAACGATACTACATTTCAGCCCGCTGCCCCCATGTGATATAATTAATAATAATAAAAAATGACATCAGACACTCAATTAAATGACATTAAAATTAAGTGTTTTATGCCAGTTTGCTACTTGTGAACCAGATTTTTGTTTTTGTTAGCAGCTTTTATGTATCTCAAGGTAAGACAGTAATTGTCTAAAATAAATATAGTGCAGTCCTCTTTTAGGTATTTGACTTACACACTAATATTCTATAGTTCTAAAATGTTTTCTTGTTTTTTTTTTATTTGACTGGACTTCTTTTATCAATTTTTGAAAATATTTTGCTTCTCATTGTCTTCCCCTGTCACCCAACTGGTCAGTAGGCTCTTTTCTATTTGGTTACAAATTGATCAAACGAACAAAAGCAGCTAAGATCTCTTCAAAAAAAAAAAGTTGCCTCATCTTCTGAAATGTTTGGAATCCCCTTGTCCTTAATGAATGAAAATCTATAACAACATATTTGCCTTTAGTTACATAAGTTTAAATCCGACTATGCAGCTCCTACTTTCACCTAGAAAGCCTAAAACAAGTTGTTGCTGTTACTAATGTTTTGTTTTTTCTACTGGTATCCTCGGTACCTTTTCTTTGCCCCAATCTTCTTCGTATTTTTCCCCTATTTTATGCCAGCAATGCCTCCACTGCATCTCCCCCTGCAGAAAGGAATAAAAGAGAAAGAGGGTAAAATCCATTATGGATCGGTCTTACGCTGTCCTCCTCAGCTCTTCTCATGTTTGAACCTCTGGGTGTTGCTGTGTGTTCCAGCGGGACCAGAGAGAAGCTCTCAGACAGAGCGCTTTGAATAAAAAAGAGAGGAAAGAATGATGACTGAGCTTGAGAGAAGAACAGAAAAAAATGGGGCTAAGGGAAAGGAATGAGACAAAAACAAGAGGGATGTAAGAAAGAGAATAAAGGCGACACTGATCCTCTTCAGATTTTGCTTCTGTTGTCTTTGACAAGTTTCTCGTCCAAAGGAGGAGTTCTAAGAAAAAAAAAACACTTCTGGTTCTATCATTTTGCAACCCTAGACAGGCTGCAAATCAACTCCCGCAGTCGGAATGAACTTGTGTTTTTTTCCCCCTGACAAACCCTCCAACAGACACCACACAAATGCACACACACCCAAGATGCACAGCTGATAATCCATTCCTCTATTTGCTCTCATCTCCCACTTGTGTCGAAAATAATTTCACTCTGTCTTTTTTGCTCCTCTTCTTCCAATTTCTTTCTCACATTTCGTTTTCATTCGTTTTATTTTCAATATCTCATCTCCTTTTTAGTATTCTACATTGTATGACTCGCATACTGTTTTTATTTATTATGTATATCGCGCTATAGACCATAAACTTGAATTTCCTTTAATCTCATGAAGTCATCAAAAATGAATGGATTTCAGTTCTCTGCATTCTAGCAGTCACCTTTGATTTTTTTCCCTGAGCAGTTTCTTTTAGATTTCTTTATTTACCCAATTATTTGTTTATTGCTGTCACAAATGAGCCGAGGAAATATCAGCAACTTCAAACAAATTAGACAAATATGTGTGTTTCAACATGTGAACACACACCCGCCCCCAGGGGCGAGTCTGTGTGTGTGCAGATGCTTTGTGACTCACAGTGGCTCCTTTAACGAAGCGTTTGTGAGTCAGTGTGTTGATGCAGCTCTTCATTAAACTGCTGATCACAACTGACACCTGGGAGGCAGACGGAACTTTCGAAAGCGGTTGCGACGGATTAGAATAAAGAAAAAAAGAATTATTACTCATTGATGGGAGTCATAATTTGTAGGCGCACGCTGCAGAGGCTGCTGGGTCGCTGATAATTAAACAGCGCGCTGAATGTCCAGGGATGGCCGTGGTGTTTCCATATATTAAAGGGGACCTATTATGCAAAATTCACTTTTTAAAATTTTTTTTTACTCAACTGTGGGTATGTACTTCTTAAAAAAACAGTCCTAGGACCAAGAAAATGCACCCAGGGGCATATTTACTGTAAGTAATTATATTTTTAATGTGCATTAACGAGTTTTAAACTTCCGTCATTTTGTGATGTCACAAGCCGTACGACAACCTACCGGAACCTGAGTTCAGTACCTTACCTAGCAACCCCCGGGTGAGGCTCCACCTCCTCAGTATAAAAAGCTGTCACAGTTGTTGTTGTGCAATACGCAGCTCATTTCACAACAAGCCTCCAATGGGGCAATGGGTAGAGTGTTGGACCAGAGAGTGGGAGACCAGGGCTCGAGATTGGCGTGGACACAATTTAATTATTTATTTTCATTCGTTATGAACACATTTTCTCATGTACCTCTATTGTTTAGCTTATTAAAGCCTTGTTAAAGCCTATTTGTTCGAGTTTCTGAGGTATTTTGACCGCTGCTGCTCCCTGCTCTGGTAGCATGCAGAGTGAGCGCAGAGCAGAGAAGGGGGAGAAAAAAAAAGAAAGATGCTGGGACCACAACTCTGCCTCTGGGTCTCTCATATGGTTGTACAACGGAGCTTCTGCTATTATTAGCCATGCTAACGTAAACGCTGGCTTTGGAGGGTGGAGTTAAAGTCAACAGATTTTTGGAGGGCGTTACCAACAGAGCTCATTAACATGAACAGCTCTTCTGAACGGAAGTCAGAGCAGGCAGAACTAGAAAATGGGAAATTTTATTACCTGAGAATTATTTTGTGCATTAAATTGAATGAACATGGTTTGGATAGCCCACAGACATACTAGGACCCATAATTGGTCTCCTTTAAATGCGTGGCAGTCTTTAGCGGCTGCTTCACACAGGAAAAGGCTGAACTGCTGCAGAGCAAACACCAAGGTGAAAAGTTTCCTGTCGACCGATTCACAAGTCCCACATAAACAAAACAAACTGTTAGATTTATTATACAATGATGGTTCGTGTCACCAGCCTGTCAAAGACAAAAGGTCAGCATTGATGTCATCGCCTCTGTTTGTGTGTTCGTTTGTCTGTTAGCAAAATATCTCACTGGAAGATTTTTACTGAAACACTCAGAAAGGATTCACTGGATGTGCGTCACTTATCCAGAGTCAACCTGATTTAATAGCTGCCACTGTTAAGAGACCATAGAAAATTACTGTCAGTTTTACACATTTTGTGTTAATGTTTAGTGGGCTAATAGCGGGAAGTGATCCCCATTACATATTTTAAATGTCAGTAAATTACACAAGGCCTTTGTTCAAAACTTAGCCCTTAACTCTTGAAGTCAACTTGGTCTATCTCCTACCAACGCATATCATGAACCATAGGAAGGATTTTAATTAAACCATTAGTACAGTTGCCTTCAATGGTTTTCAGTCTGGGACCCACAAACTGATGGAGAGATGGAGCAAGGACCCCCTCTATATACATATATTGTAAGCTATTAGTTGTTGACAGTCGGGGTGCAGTGTTGTAGAAGTATTGCAACAATTCCAGCACAAATAGGCTCTCAGCCAGTTACTGTGAACCAAATCAACCAT